GGTTTGCACAAGCCTCCCAGCTTTCGCTTCCTCTTCCTTTCTGGAGACGTGAGCAGTTTACCTTAAGCCTACCGTGAGGACAGCAGGGGACACAGGCTGGTTTCGCTAGGAGGTGAAGTCCCATGGGTGTTCTTAACAGCAGAGTACACACCTGGAAATTCCCCTTCCCCTCCCGGCAGCCCGTCCTGCCCACTCCAGGACCTGGGCTCCCAGGGGCAAAGGGCCCAGAGGCCCATCTTGGAGGGCTTGAATGCCAGACCCGGGAGTGGGGCCCCCCTGCCCTGCTGCTCTGGAGGGCCCTGCCCCCACCCCACCCCGTCCTGCTCCCCGAGATCCTGGCCCTGTCGACTGAGCTCCCGCAGCTAAGCGTGGGACAGTGAGAACTTTGATTTGCTCCAGACTTTATCCCCAAGACCAAGAGCAGCACCCAGGACGCAGCAGGTGCTCGGTAAATGTGCGCTGGGTCAGTGGTTGGGTTGCAGGCCTGGAGGCCGCAGCCTCTGAGCGACCTGGTGATTCAAGGCCACGATGAAGGGGCCAAGGGCAAACTGTCCTTCCGGCATAAGCACAGGGCACCGCTGAGGCTGTGTCAGGGAGCGAGGACCCTCGGGAAATAGTCATCCAACCACATTGATGGCAGGTGCTCGGTGACAGCCCAAGCCTGGGCTGGCAGAAGCCCAGAGCACTCCTGTGTCTTCAGCTGGGTTTTGAGATGATCTCCCTGGTGGTGGGAGTTAGTCAAAGAATGGCCCCGTCCCACCAGCCCCCAGCCAGCCTGGGCCTTGGGGCCTTCACCCAGGCTCCGCCCCACCTGTGTCCCAGGGGGACACCAGCCACCCTGGTCCTGCCCAACCCACCCCTACCCTAGAGGAGGAGGACAAGGGGATCTTGGTATGAGGAAAGAAGCGCTTGGAGTAGTGTGGGAAGAGAAGAGGTGCTGTCACATCTTAGGGAGGGACCCTGGTGACAGGCAGGTAGGCCAAGAGTTCCCCAGCCCTCCAGGTTCTAAGTAGGCTCTTGTGCCCATTTTACAGATAAGGAAGCGGAGTCAGGTGACCTGCCCAGTGTTTACAGGAACCGTAGTGCAATGCAGGAGAAGGCAGAGCCGCAGATGAAGTAACAGACTCTGGAGGCCTGGGTCCTTATGGGGAGGGAAGGTCCCCTGCCTGGCCTTAGGTTGAGACAAGATTCGCTGGCTGGGGCTGGCTTGGCCCTCAGGCCTGGGAGGGGGTGGTGCTGAGCCCTGGGAAATAGGGCAGTCCTGGGCTTCCATGTCACGCCACCCCTCCCCCTCCATGCCCCTCCCCCTCCCCTGCCTTTGTTTCTTGGCCTGCGAAGCCCTTTCTCCCCACCCTCCCCCACTCTCGCTCCTCCTCTGCCCCCACTTCCCACTCTCTTCTTTTCTTTTCTCCCTCCCTCCCCCCACTCCCAGCACCACTGCAATCAGGCAGCTAATCTGTTTCTCTCTTTCTCTGCCTTTAACATTTACTTTCTGCCCACCCTGGGAACCGAGGGTGCCAGGTAGGAGCCCAGCCGCATCCCAGCCAGAGATGGCCCTCATGCCACTAGCCCTGACGTGGGGAGGGCTTTTGTTCTGAGTCCTCAGCACCAGTGGTGAGGAGAGGCCCTGCCCTGAGAAGGGAGGTGCCGCCAGGGGCCCCGGGCAGATGACAGAGGGGCCTTAGATTGGGTGGGGAGGCAGCCCTGGTACACAGGTGGCGCACACCTGGCAGGCTCTCCTGCCCGGGCAGCTCTGTGCCAGGACACGAGAACAGAGAGGTTGTGGCCTGCGAGGTGGAGCGGGTGAGAAGTGAACCGGAAAGCCAGCCCAGAAGGAAGGGGATACGGTGACATGGGTCACCCCGTGCCAGCTCCCCAGTCCCTCATTCCTGTGCGCGACATGCAGGGAAATCAGATTCCCTCTGTCTTTCTCCCAGCCTCTGTCAGCCAGCCTGGCGGCCCAGGGAACAGTACAACACAGACGCTGGGCCCCACCCCGCCCTGAAGCCCCATGACACAGGCACTCACAGGGCGACGTGTGTTCTGCTCTGGCGAGTGTCCAGCCCAATGCAAAAGACTGGCCAGGGGGTGGTGGCTCCGTGGAAACTTCCGGCAGAAGTAGAGACCCCAGGAAGGGCTCTGGCTGCCCTCTGGGGACCCTGGCCCAGCCAGAAAGGAAGAGGCAATTGCCCGGGGCTTGCCCATGTTTCCCTGCTGGCCCCTGGTGTCCCAGGGCGGTTCCTAAGGAGGAGGCCAGGCTCAGACGTGACACCCCCAGGCCGCACGGCCCCAGGACAGAGAGGGCGATATGGGGCCCAGGCGGCCCGGTCGTGGGCCCTCACACCTGGGTACACACCCAGCTGCGTCCCATCCACAGCCCTCTGGAGCATGCTCCTCGGGGCCCAGTGTGCCGGGCTGTGAAGTGGGGAGCAGGGTACCCCGCCACGCCCCACGGGTCGTGTAGGATTAAGTGGCTCACGTGGGACTGGCACGGACTCACCAATGAGAAGCTGTGGCTCTTCGCCCAGGTCCGTGCTTAGCTGCTGGCACCTCTGTGCCCCCCGCCCCCGCTTGGGCACAGAGCCCTGGGGGCAAGGACCCTTTTGCAGCCAGGCACAGGCTTCCGACACAGACACACCTTCTCAACGCAGAACCACCTGTTCGTGTGGGGAGGGCACACCTGGCTGGTTTGCATCTGGTACCTGGTGTGACCATGGGGAGGGGCCCCTTGTAAAAGGGCCCCAGTGTGGACGGTCAGGTACGTGGTCACCCTCCTTGCGGAGAACCACACCAGCCCTGTGCCCGGCCCCTCGGGCTGCTGTGGGCTGCTAGTGTTCTCCTGCCCCCCTCCCCGAGAGCAAGGGGACTGCTTTGCGCCCACTGCGGTGAGGCTGCCAGGAGGGGGGCAGGGTGCCTGGTACTGGAGCCGTGGACAGGAAAGGGAAGGGAACCGACGTTCACCCGACATGCTCTTCTCACCTCCTCCCCGCCCTGTAAGTCAGGACCCTTTCCCCCGTGTAGAGATCGGAATTGTTCGAAGTCACAGTAAACGCAGAGTCGGATTTGAACTCGGATCTGGTGCCAAGTGTGAAGCATGGGCTGCACCGCTGCTGGTCATTAGTTCCTCCTCTTCTCTGGCCCTGCCTTTGGGGAAGTCTAAAAAAATGCTGAGCACATCGTTTGCTCAACTCCATAGCAGGCAGGAGGGCCACTGGGGGCCACCAGAGACAGGCTGCAGTGACAGGAGGCAGCCGCTCTGCCCGGCTGGTGGCAGGGTGGCCGTGGTGAGCCCAGTGGGGCAGGACCCTGCCTCATTCCCCTCGCTGTCTCCAGGCTCAAGGCCCGGCCCATAGCAGGGCCTTAGCAGGGACTTGTTGCTCAAATGAATGAATGAGTTCCGAGTTCCGAGTCCCTCGAGGTTGTCCTCAGAACCACTTAAGCTGTGCTGAATTTGGGGAGCGAGAGTGGAAACATCTCTCAGCTCTGTGGCTTTTTTCAGAAAAGGCTCCTCCAGGGCTGTGGGCAGACACCCCACAGGGGTGCCCCACGGCTGGCCCGGGCTCTGTGGTCAGCCAAGCCCCTTTCCCCGCGTCATGACCGCTGGTCCTCACACCCCTTCCATGCGTAGGTGTTTGCATCCCTGTTTTTTCTGTGGGGAAACTGAGGCACACAAGCTAGTTGAGTCCACTTTCCAGGGTCTGGGCGTGGGGGTGTGGGTGACTCAGGAACAGGTTCGGCCCGCCCAGCCTGTTCCAGGCGTTTCCTTCCACCCGATCCCTTCCACAAGGGGCTGCTGTGCTGAGGTCCATGGTTTAATCTTTAGTGTCGGCCGGGCCAAGGAGGCTGAATTCCTGTGTGGGGTATTTTTAGCCGCCGCAGGAAGGGGAAGCTCCACTGGGCGCTGGGGGAGGGCGCCAGGCCCGAGCCGGTTTCCTGAGGAAGGGCCGCTCGGGAGGGGAGCGGGCAGGGCAGGCAGGAGTCACCGCCATGCCGCCCCTTCCTCTGCTGCGCCAGCGGCTGCCCTGGGGTGAGGGGCGTTGACGTGACCACCTGAGGCCGGGAGCAGGCCACGCACAGCCACTGGGCCATCACTGGGTGTGCCGAAGCCCCGGGGGAGCCTGCAGAGGGTGCCGAGGCAGGTGGGGGCAGCTGTGAAGACCCCCGGGAGGAGCAGGGTCGGGGAGAGGGCAGCCCCGGGGAGAGCCGGGCAGCCGGGTGCAAGGAGTGCCGCCAAGGCCCCTTCTTCCACGTCGGGGCCGGCACGGAACGCCAGTGTATAAAGCAGATAAAAACCATGTTCTATCGGTGTGAGTTTAGATATTTGAATACATAACGTTTAGCTAATCAAGCAAAACAGTGACCTGTTTGGATAGACGGAGATTTTGCATCAGGGCTGACGGTGGCAGCCGGTGTCTGAGACTTGGCCTAAGCTCCCACTTTGTTTCTGAGTGTCGCCTTGTTTTTGCCGTATGTATGTACGTGTCTTCATTCATACAGCCAAGTCGTCACAGGTGGTGACAGTGAACACCTCAGCTACAGTCTTAAGTTCTGCCCAAAACTAATTATTTTGGCAGCAAAGCCAGGGGGGCTTCTGAATGTGTTGGAATGCAGTACCTGTTCTAGTCGAGTAGGTGGGCTTTTAAAACTCTTTTAAAAAATAGTAGAATCTTCTTGCCTTTTGAATCGGATTTTTGAGGAGTTCTTGAAGGCCCCATAGAACACGGTTAGAGGGAAATCCAACCTCCCCTTTTTACAGAAGGGAAGGCGAAGGCCGGCACGGGGCTCACCCGGGATCCTACAGGGAGATGGCAGAGATGGTTGGATGCACAAAGGGTGTCATTGCTCCCTGTAATTGCAAGGGTGCCCTGTCCCTCAAGCAGGAATAGAAAGACGTCGGGGCCAGACACACCCCAAATTAGCCAAGCCGTCGTCTCCGCTCTGTGTGTAGCCGTCCACGCGGCGCCGAGCCCCGGTGTTAATGCTCCCTTCTCCTCCCACAGCGATGCCCTCCTAGCAGCCTCCACGGGATGGAGGGCTTCATGGACTCAGGGACACAGACGGATGCCGTGGTGGTGCTGTCCTTGGCCCAGGCCGCCGTGCTGGGCCTGGTCTCCGAAAATGAGCTCTTTGGAGCCACCATAAGCGCCGAGGCCTTCTACCCGGACCTGGGGCCTGAGCTGTCAGGGACGGCCATGGGGGAGCCTGGGCCACCCGGCCCCGACGTCTACCAGCTGGCCTGCAACGGGCGGGCCCTGGAGGAGCCGGTGGAGGAGGAGGTGCTGGAGGTGGAGGCCGCCTTCGAGAAGCACACGCGGCGGAAGACGCGGCCCCCGGTGCGGCTGGTGCCCAAGGTCAAGTTCGAGAAGGTGGAGGAGGAAGAGGAGCAGGAGGTCTATGAGGTTTCCGTGTCTGGCGACAGCAAGGACGCAGGCCCCGCAGAAGCCCCGGCCGAGGTGTCCAGCGGCGCCTGCGAGGCGCTGGTGCAGAGCAGCGCCGTCAAGATGATCGACCTCAGCGCCTTCAGCCGCAAGCCCCGGACGCTCCGGCACCTGCCCCGGACGCCGAGGCCGGAGCTGGACGTGGCCCCCTACGACCCTCACTTCCCAGACCCGGCCCGGGACGGCTTCCCCGAGCCCAGCATGGCGCTGCCCGGGCCAGAGGCCTTGCCCGCTGAGTGTGGTTTCGAGCCGCCCCACCTGGCCCCGCTGAGTGACCCCGAGGCGCCCAGCATGGAGTCCCCGGAGGCCGTGAAGCCAGAGCAGGGCTTCGTGTGGCAGGAGGCTGGCGAGTTCGAGGCGGACGCGGCGGGCTCCACAGCGGAGCGCCACAAGAAGGCCCAGCTGGACCGGCTGGACATCAACGTGCAGATCGACGACTCCTACCTGGTGGAGGCGGGCGACCGCCAGAAGCGCTGGCAGTGCCGCATGTGCGAGAAGTCGTACACGTCCAAGTACAACCTGGTGACGCACATCCTGGGCCACAACGGCATCAAGCCGCACTCGTGCCCGCACTGCAGCAAGCTCTTCAAGCAGCCCAGCCACCTGCAGACGCACCTGCTGACGCACCAGGGCACCCGGCCCCACAAGTGCCAGGTATGCCACAAGGCCTTCACGCAGACCAGCCACCTCAAGCGCCACATGCTGCTGCACTCGGAGGTCAAGCCCTACAGCTGCCACTTCTGCGGCCGTGGCTTCGCCTACCCCAGCGAGCTCAAGGCCCACGAAGTGAAGCACGAGAGTGGCCGCTGCCACGTCTGTGTGGAGTGCGGCCTGGACTTCTCCACCCTGACCCAGCTCAAGCGCCACCTCGCCTCCCACCAGGGCCCCACCCTCTACCAGTGCCTCGAGTGCGACAAGTCCTTCCACTACCGCAGCCAGCTGCAGAACCACATGCTCAAGCACCAGAACGTGCGGCCCTTCGTGTGCACCGAATGCGGCATGGAGTTCAGCCAGATCCACCACCTCAAGCAGCACTCGCTCACCCACAAGGTAAGGCTGCCTTTTTCAAATAGTAAACCCTTATTTATTTAAAAAAAAAAAAAAATTTTTTTAATGAAATGTTTGTGGAACCCCTGCAGAACCCAAGGAACACAGTTTGAGAATCACCGAACTAGCCTAACCTGCCTGTTTTCCAGAGAGCTGAGGCCAGAGAGAGGCCGGGATGCCACGGGGAGGCACCTGAACTCAATGGTCAGAAGTACAGAGGGCGTCCTTTTCTTCTGGTCATTACAAAAGTATATTAGCGGGGCACCGTGGCTCACGCCTGTCATCCTAGCATTCTGGGAGGCCGAGGCAGGAGGATCACTTGAACTCGGGAGTTAGAGACCAGCCTGAGCTGGAGCCAGACCCCATCTCTACCAAAAATAGAAAAAATTAGCCAGGCATGGTGGTGAGTACCTGTAGCCCCAGCTCCTCGGGAGCTGAGCCCAGGAGGGTGAGGTTGCGCTGATGATGCCACTGCACTCTATCCAGGGTGACAGAGCAAGACTCTATCTCAAAAAAAAAAAAAAAAGTACATAAAAACCTTTGACTTCCCTTTAGGAACAGGCTAAATACATTTAATTTTTAAGGGAGAGTAGGTGTAAGGAAAAATAACTGCTATGGAAGAGTACATTCAGGTGGTTTTAGAGCATGTCTAACCTAGGCAAAGTGGTTTGTGAGATGGAAGACTGAGCGGCACTGTTGAGATCTGCAGTATCCCTGGGCCCGACCTTGACCCATTCTCCCCTGCCCTCCTCCCCCTGCCTTCAGCCAGCGTCACCGCCTCCGAGGGGCCCTCACATCCGGGCAGGTGGAACGAGGCCTCTCAGGTCTCACAACCCCACCCTGGCACGCACTTGGCTGCCCCGTGGTTTCGACCCAAATCCAACCCACTTAACCCTTCAAAGCCGCATGCGCGTAGTGCTTTCTCTCCACAGTGGGGGCCTCCTGGTGGTACCAGGTCCAGCTCGCCACCCCACCTCTCGCAGTGTCCGCCGCACCGAGCCGGGGAGCAACAGCCCGGGGCGCCAAGAAGCCAGCCATTGGTAGGCTGCATTGCAGGGGCTCCTCCGGTCGGCTGGTAGTAGCTGCCCAAAACGTAATGTTCGGAAGGATTCCGAAACTGAATCTGGGCTCGGCAGTAAAAGCGTGTGATTGATTGTTGATGTCTGCAGAGGATGCAAGTGGAGGGTGATCGCATACGCGCTATATAAAAATATCTATTTGCCGTCTTTCTCCTCTGCTGTCAGACTTAAAAATCCCCACAACTCCGCAGAGTGTTAAAAGATAAATAATACTGCGAAGAAAAGCTGAAAGCAAAAATCAAAGGCTAATAACATCGAAAACATACCTATCATCAGCCTAAACGTGTACAATACGCACATCACGTGCTTATCGAGTAAACTCCTGAATGGCAGGGCCCCCTGGTGGCCGTACCCACCTGCAACATGTCAAGCGGGTATGAGGAGACACAGCCCATCTGCTAGGAGAAACAGACACGGGAACTATTAAATTACAATACAGGCCAGGCATGGTGGCTCATGCCTGTAATCTCAACTCTCTGGAAGGCTTAGGCAGGAGGATGGCTTGAGGCTAGGAGTTCGAGACCCACCTGGGCAACATAGTGAGACTCCCATCTCTACAAAAAATAAATAAAAATAAATTAGCCAGGCACATGTCTGTAGTCCCAACTACTTGGGAGGCTGAGGCGGGAGGATTGCTGGGCCCAGGAGATTGAGGTTACAGTGAGCGGTGATGAAGCCACTGTACTCTAGCCTGGATGACAGAGGGAGACCCTGTTTCTAAAAATAACTAACTAAATACATATATACATATATATTGGCTGGGTGCAGTGGCTCACGCCTGTAATCCTAGCACTCTGGGAGGCCGAGACGGGTGGATTGCTCAAGGTCAGGAGTTCGAAACCAGCCTGAGCAAGAGCGAGACCCTGTCTCTACTATAAATGGAAAGAAATTAATTGGCCAACTAATATATATAGAAAAAATTAGCCGGCCATGGTGGCACATGCCTGTAGTCCCAGCTACTCAGGAGGCTGAGGCAGAAGGATTGCTTGAGCCCAGGAGTTTGAGGTTACTGTGAGCTAGGCTGACGCCACAGCACTCACTCTAGCCTGGGCAACAGAGTGAGACTCTGTCTCAAAAAAAAAATTTTTTTTTAAATAAATACATACATACATACATACATATATACATGCATATTTACATACGTACGTACAAAACTTGTACCAAACAAGCAGAGAGATAGCAGCTGTGACCATAGCTGTCCCATTGGGGGTCCTACTAAATCACTCACTCAGCAAAGAGAAAACAGCTTCCAACTTTATCCTAACTTTCCCCCTTAGACAATAATTGGACGCCTCCTGTACACAGCACCCTGCCCTGCTCAGGGGGTCACCTCAGACCATAGACAAGCATGTTCACGTCCAAACCGGAGGGTTTTCCCCTGGAGCCGGGGTGGGGAACCTGCAGCCTTGGGGCCACATGTGGCCTTCTGGATCCTTGAGTACGGACTTTTAACTGAACCCAAATTTTAACAGAGTAAATCCTTTTATTAAAAGGGGTGCAGCAGGGAAAGATGAAGCTTTTCTTGCCTTCTTTGATGCTTAAGAAGGAGCAATCTTGAAATCAGACGGCCGCAGGTTCCCCTCCCTGGCCTGGAGTCTGTGTCTCCCGGGACCCAGTGTTCCAAATCCATCGGAGACAAGAGCCACCCGGGGGCGCTGTTGAGCACAAACACTGCCGGGCCGTCCCTGGGCCCCTTGAACGAGACTCTTGGGAAGGGCCTGGGAGGCTGCATGTCGGACAGAACTGGAGGTGGCTCTTACAGCCAGGGAGGTTTGGCAAACACTCTCTCAGGGGGTCAGTGGACGGGCTCTGGGGGTTTGAGAGCCTTCGAAATTCTATGCCGACCTAAGTGTCATTTTTCCTGGGATGTCCCTAGCTTTAATCATATTTTCCAAGGGTTCCGTGAACCAAAAAGAACACCAAGAGACAGCACTGAGGGTCAGCGTAATGCATACGTCCTGGGTCTGATGAAACGGCCACAGACACCGGACAGAGACTGCGCGTCTCGACCCTGGGCCCCTGGCGCCTAGTACAGTGCTGGCTTGTAGCAGGTGCCCAGTACACGGTTGCCGAGTGAATGACTGAGCACAGGCTTGCCTCAGCGTGCTGGCGCAGCCCCAGGTGCACGCCCACCCTGGGGACAGGAGGCAGCAGGCGTGCGGATGGGCACAGCCCCTGTCTGCCTCCCGGTGACTTTAAACAAGTGGTAGCTGTTCAGAGTCCCCCTGGAAAGGGACACTTCCCAGAAGCGGTGCCTGTGTGGGGCTCCCCACCGTCCACCGTGGGACACTCCGGCGTCTGTGTCTGCCGTGTGGCCCTGACCACCGCCCCTCCCCCCACAGGGCGTGAAGGAGTTCAAGTGCGAGGTGTGTGGCCGGGAGTTCACCCTGCAGGCGAACATGAAGCGGCACATGCTGATCCACACCAGCGTCCGGCCCTACCAGTGCCACATCTGCTTCAAGACCTTCGTGCAGAAGCAGACCCTCAAGACACACATGATTGTACACTCGCCCGTGAAGCCATTCAAATGCAAGGTATGCGCCCGCAGGCCGGGGCTGCGCCCTCCCCACGGGTGGCCTGGTGTCCGCAGGACTCGGCGGCCGTGGCCCACGGAGAGCTGGCGTGGCCAGTGCGGGCAGTGGGGAGCCCTGGCTGGGGGAAACTGAGCCTGGGCTTTGGGGTTTGGGGTGCACAGGGTGGTTCGGATCCTCAAAGCTGCTGGCGTTGTGTTTCTTGAGAACTGGGCCACAGAGAAAGCCCAGGCCTGGGACTCGGTGCCGCTGGGGATTCGAGCTGGGTCTGAGTTTGCGGTGACTCCAGCTCAGGGCGGGCCAGACCCGCAGGAGCGATGACAGCAGGGGCGGCTTGTTTCTCTGCTCCGTGGGCTTCCGGAGTCACATAAAAAAGGACAAAGAGAGCACTGTCCATGCTGGCGGGGCTGTGGCCTGGCCACGGAGGTGGGCGTGGGCTGGGGTCGGGGGACGGCGCGCTCCCCACAGGCTAATGGGCCCGGGTTGGCGTGTTGCAGGTGTGCGGGAAGTCCTTCAACCGCATGTACAACCTGCTGGGCCACATGCACCTGCACGCAGGCAGCAAGCCCTTCAAGTGCCCCTACTGCTCCAGCAAGTTCAACCTCAAGGGCAACCTGAGCCGGCACATGAAGGTCAAGCATGGCGTCATGGACATCGGCCTGGACAGCCAAGGTGGGTGGGCCATGCGCAATGGACAGAGCAGGAATGACACCAACATGGCGCACTCAGGAGCCGCCTGTCCAGTTAAGGGAGTGGGGAGGCTGGCCGAGGCCGAGACCTCGTTAGGGTGGGCTCAGGCCTGGAGAGGGGGGGCCCTGCAGGGCCGTCATGGCGATAACGATGGGATATTTATGTCTTCTTCAAAGGACTTCAACGGGCTCACATCATAATAATAAAAATCATAACTAACATTTATGGAGTGCTAACTGTGTGCCAGGCCTTTATTAACTCATGTGATCCGCAAAGTGAAGTTAGCTCTGTTACCCCCAGCTCACAGATGCAGAAACTGAAGGACAGGGAAGTTAGGTAGCTCGGGCAAGATCACAGCACATAGGAGCTGACACTTTACCTCATTACCATGACATAACATTTAAAGTAAGTGGATGGGGCCAGGCGCGGTGGCTCACGCCTGTAATCCTAGCACTCTGGGAGGCCGAGGAGGGAGGATTGCTCGAGGTCAGGAGTTCAAGACCAGCTTGAGCAAGAGCGAGACCTTGTCTCTACTAAAAATGGAAAAAATTAGCCAGGCATGGTGGTGCATTCCTGTAGTCCCAGCTTCTCGGGAGGCTGAGGCAGAAAGATTGCTTAAGCCCAGGAGTCTAAGGTTGCTGTGAGCTAGGCTAATGCCACAGCACTCTAGCCCCAGCAACAGAGTGAGACTCTGTCTTAAATATATAAATAAAGTGGATGGGAAAGAAAGTAATAAAAGGAAAAAATGGCAGCTGGAAAGATAAGGGAGAGCTATTGAGGTCACAACTGCAAGTACACCATGGGAGGTCTGATGGACATGCAGAGGGGAGCTCTGAGCTTCCCAGCAGCCAAGTCAAAGAGTGTAACACAGTCAGTCATGCTCTTCACAGTGCCTGCCAAAGAGAAATTAACCCACATATTCAGGACAGGGTCGGATGGTCCTGTCATTAAGATCTGGGGGAAATTTCCAGACAGGATCCTATACCTCAGCAGTTGGTAGAAGTTTCAGAGGCTGTTTGTTATAAAACATCCCAAGTGTTAGCAATAGCCTCTCCCTCCAGCCCTGGTCAGTAATCAAAGCACTTACATTGGGCCACAGCAGAGCTAACAGTTGATGGCTCTGGCCCCATTGTGGGGAGGGGGTGGTTTAGCTATTCTCCAAGGCGGGAGGGAGCTGGTAGCACTTCAGGAAGCTCCTTCTCCAGTGTGGAGCTGTTTCTGGTGCTTCTTACGAGACACGCGTGCCTTGGCAGTACCCAGCTGAGTCGACTTGCCCTGGGGACTTATTTGCTGGAAGCCAGTCAGGTGTTGGGGTCGGCTGCGCTAGCCCTGACTGTGGCTTTGGAGCAGCTGGCCAGTGCATGGCCCGGCTTTGCTGGCAGCAGCACCTGTCTCGGTCGCGTTGTTTTTCAGTTGTCTATTAAGGCTGCTTCCGGTAGGTGAGAACGAAACCCTGTTGGCTGCACATAGAAGCTCTCTGTAGCTCCTCGATACTCAAAATGTGGTCGGAGGACCAGCAACGTGGGCATCGCCTGGGATCTTGCTAAAAATGCAGCCTCTGGGCCCCACCGCAGACCTGCTGAGTCATTTCAGACAGGCCCTCAGGCCGTTTGGTGCTCAGTGAAGTTTGAGAGGCATTGAACTAGAGTAGCGGGAATCCCCGGGAGGGCCCTAAACAGGTGGCTGGGCCACCCCCAGGGCTGCTGACCCTGAGGTCCGGGCGGGCCTGAGGGTTTGCATTTCCAAGAGGTTCCCAGGTCTTACTGAACCTCCCTTGGAGAACCTTCCATCAGACTCTAGAGACAGGCTCTCAGATTGGCTGCATGTGGGGAGTCACCTGAGGGATTTTGAGAACACTGATGCCCGAGTCTGGACTCTGGAGATTTTGTGTCCGTGATCTGGAATGTGAGCCGGAATCAGGATTTTTTTTTTTTAAAGCACTGTGGGTGATTCCATGTGCAGGAGGGTTTGAGAACTGCTGCTCTCCTGGACCCGCCCTGCAGCTAACCCACCGGGGAGGACCAGAACAGACCTTTACATTTGGGAAATAACCGGGCCATCAAGAGGCTGTCAGTGTTACAGCTCTTATAGAATTTGTCTAGCAGGTTTTCTAGTTTTCACCAGAAAATCTCCTCGAGGAACAAAAAAAAAGACTGTCTTTGCACACCTCGTTCCCAGGGATCACTGAGGTGCAAGCTCTCTCGGCATGGGGTCCGCAACCAGGGATGCTTAGGTTGCTTTCTTCCCTCCTGCACCGGATGGGGGTGGGGGGCAGGGGTCGGCCAGGAGCAGCCGGGCTCCCCGCACCTAGGGCGGTGATCTGAGAAGCCGGGCGTGGCGCTGTGGCAGGAGGAAGGCAGTATACATCCTAAATGCAACCGCCTAGCAAACTCGGGGGCTCTAATTTGGGGAGGTGGATCGATGTCCGTGTAAAACATGGCACAGACTATTCTTTGGGGCCAACTGGGCAAGACCAATAGACTTAATGAACAAAGTGGGGGCCGTGTGCAGAGATCCAGAGGGGGCTACTTTCTCCGGGTGCTTTATTTAGTCTTATTTAGTCTTATAACCAGCTGTATAGCATGCAACCTTAATGAGGTTGCAGCATTTAAGATTTGAGGAAGAAACAGCCGAGTCTGTAAGATTTGGTACAATCGGCTTTGTCAGGAAGACTCACAGGGCGTTGGATGCCACAGGCGCAAGTAACAGCCGCCGCTTGGACTGGCTTACACAATAAGCACGTAGATTAAGAAATGACTTGAAGTCTAGACCATCTTCGGGATTGGCTGGTTCAGCTCTCAACAATGACATCAGGGTTGGGCTTCCTCCATCCACAGCAGTAGCTGTGGTTTTTCCTCATGGTCACAAGACGGCTGCCAGTGGCCTTCAGGGCGATGTGCTTCCTTGTCCACATTCAGTAGAGGAGTGAGAGCCTGCTCCCCTGAGCTCTTTAAAACCAGTGAGAACATCCTAAGAACTTTCCAACAGGCCTTTCTTCGTGATTCCCTGGCCAGGATTGGGTCACCTTCCTATTCCTGAACCGCTAATCGGCAAGGGATGGATTTACCTTTAGAGCACTGGTTCTCCACTAGGGGTGAGTGAGCCCCTAGGTGACATCTGGCCATGTCTGGAGACATTTTTGGTTGTCATAGCTGGGGTGGCACGGCTGACGCGGAGTGGGCAGAGGACAGGGTGCTGCTACACGTACCTCTTCAGTGGACAGGGCCAGAGTGCACGAGGGGTCAGCCGCAGTCCCGGCCAGCCAGCCTCCCGGGGCCCCCAGATCTTTGTAACAAGATTGCGACTTGATAAAATCACAAGAGGTCTCTTAAGCGTTTTGGTCTCGTGTGTCCTTGTGAACCTACCTTGGGTGCTCGTTTGTCCTTGGAGAGCTGGGCCCAGGGGTACTGGGTGGAGCTGGTGGGGAGCACAGAGGCCCCCAGGATGGGTGGGGAGAAACGGCTCCCTCCCTCGAGTTGAGCCAGAGCAGCACAGGGGCTCAAAGCGGCAGCACTTACTGGGTGACCTCTGGCAAGTGGATTAACCTCTCTGAACCTCAGCCTTTGCATCTGCTAAATGGGCTTGTGGGCCTCCGAAGAGATGAGGGCTGTGAAGTGCCTGGCCTGCAGCAGGCGCTAAATTGAGTGCTTTACAGAGACATGATGGCACAGCAGGCTTTCTCTCGGCGAGGGGACCAGAGAGAAACACTGCAGAGAAGTAAGTAGGGCGCAGTGACTTAGAAGGGAAGCGTGACCCAAAGCCTGCGAGCCCAGGCCTGCAGGGGCCCGCACGGTGGCACCTGCCCCCACGTGCACAGTTAGGGCTGACGGTCGGTGACCTGTCGGAGAAGCCACGGGAGCCTCAGGCATCCCGGGGAAAGCTGGGAGGCAGCCGAGGACCCTCTGGAAGCCATGACTGCGAAGGCTTTCCTTTAAAAGGCCATCTGCTTCCTGCATGGCGGCGACTGGCTCCTGCCACGCGGCGGCACCCGGGCCTAACTGTGCCCCTCTCTTGCAGACCCCATGATGGAGCTGGCGGGCGCTGACCCGTCCGAGCTCGACAGCCAGCAGGAGATGGAGGACTTCGAGGACAACGCCTACGCCTACGCCGGCGTGGACAGCGGGCCGGAGGCCAGCGTCCTCACCGAGCAGGCCATGAAGGAGATGGCCTACTACAACGTGCTATAGCACAGCGGCCGCCCGGCGAGGCGCGAGGGGAGCTGGGGCTGGGGCGGGCCGGCTGCGGGCTGCTCCTCCTGCCGCTGAGAAACACGCCGCCGCCGCCCCACCGCCCCGGGCCCGCCTGCCCGAGTCATTTGCACCACTAGGGACCTTTAGACCAAATGGAGACTGTACTACTGGCCGCGGCTGCGCGCCGGGCACAGGCCCGGGCATCCTGGCAAGGGACGGTAACGCAGGAGGCCCGGTCTGGTCTCCTTGGCTTGCTGCCAGGGGAGGGTGGGAGAAACGGGCCGCTGGGGACAGGCCACTAAGGCACAGGCTCTCCGGAGCGCTCCAGGATGAGATCACGTGAGCCTAGCCTCGCCTCTCCTCGCCTCTCTCCTTAACCAGCCCTGCCTCTCCCTGCGGCCAGCACTACCCCCATGCCGCCCCTCCCCGTCCTGTCCTCCGCAGCCAGGCAGGGCCCCCGCCCCGCCTTCTACCTCCCGGTGCCCCCGCACTCCCCGGCCAGGCCTGCATGCGGCCCCCAGCCCACCCCCAGAAGGCCCCTGTCCCGCAGCCCTGTCTGGAAGTGGGTGTCCCTGAAGTTGATCTCAATGAACGAACACCATCCAGTTCTGTCCTGAGCTGGGGCAGCCCCCAGGGTCCCACGTGAGCACGGCCGGCCGGGGCGTGGCTGGCACCGGGCGCACGCTAACGCAAGCAGGAGGGGCCCTGGAGCCAGGGCAGGGCAGGGTGAGGGCATCGGCAGGGACCAAGGGGAGGCCAGGGACCACCTGTGGGGGGAAGGGGACGGAAATAGTTTCTCATGGGTAAGTATCTTGAGGACGGGGCAGCCAAGAGCTAGCTGGCTCCCGGGAAAGAGCAACATATTTAAAAAGGAAAATGAAGACCATAGAGGGGGGAAACATTTTTTTTCGAGCAAATGGGGGTATTTTGAAGGTAATTTATTTTTTTTCTTTCCACTTCTGTGTCACCTATTATCTTTTCTGATGGAGACGCATTTCCTTTTTCCAAACGCAAGCTTGCTCGTGTGCTGTGTGTGCTTCGTGCTCCCCTGCCGAGCAGCCCGGCTGGGCGGGGGCTCCATGGGGACCGCGGCTCCGGCCCTCCTGCCTCGGAAGGCCGGGCAGCCCTGCACCCTGCCTGGGCCCCTCCGGTGGCCGACTGGCCGTGCACCGTCCTGGCGGCCAGGCCGCTGACTGCTCAGCCACCAGCTCGCTCCCTGGCACCTGCTGTCTTCCCTGTCCCCACGCCAGCTCCTGCCCCTGGAGCCCAGGACCGGGACTGCAGGTCCAGGGCAGCAGCAGCAGCACATTCAGGAATCCAGGGCCCTGGCTCCAGCCCGCTCGCCTCCTGAGGCCCTGGTGGGGAGGGGCAGGCGGGGCTGTCCCCTAAGGCCCAGAGGAAGCTACCAGCTTCAGCCCAAACACCAGGAGGGGGACACAGCTGGGGTGGGGGGAACCAGTTTGAAATACAGCTACCCCCAAGGCCGTATCCTTAAGTGAAGGACCAAGCCAGGCCTCAGGGTGACTGTGATCAGGACGGAAGGGTGTGGACAAGGTGGCCCACATGTGGCTCCCCAGACCCCGGGGCCTCTCAGCCTCCCAGGTGCCGGCCATGACGACCCTCAGGTGGCAGTGACCCCGTCACTGTACGAGACATTTTCTCCTGCTGAGCAGAAGGCATCATCCCCTGCAAACTACCTCTTCCCACAACCTCTTTCTTCCCTGGTACCAAAAAGAACCCTGTACCTCCTCCTCCTCCTCCTCTCCCCTGCCAGCGCAGTGGCCTCGGTCTTGGAAGCCGAAGGGAGAAGGCCTGGCCCCGTGGGGGGCTCTCCTTCCCTCCCCAGCCCCGCCGTCAGCACCGGCCCTCTGCGAGGTTTGATACTTGAACGCCCCTGCCCTGTGCCTTGGACCTGGGCAGAGCTCAGAGGAGGAAGCAGCACAACTCACGGCTTGAGCGGGGTGGTCTTAGCAAGGCCCCTGTCCCCACCCTCCCTACCTTCTCCAAAGAGGCCTGCAGCCTCTCGGGTGACTTGGAAACTCCTGGACGATTCCATCCTAACTTATTTTGACGTGTATACAAACCAACTGTTTAGAGATTCCACTTGTGCAAAGCCCTACTGTGTTTTTATGTTCCTGTTTAAAAGAGAAGTTTACTTAGCAATAATTATAAATAAATGAATATTCTTTAGCGAGGTGACTGCAAATGCTTCCTTCCCCAGCTCCCGGGGAGCTGGCCCTCACGCCTCCCCCCGAGGGCACTCCCAGCCCCACGCTGCGGGGTTCACTCCCGGGCACCCGAGGGGGCTGAGACAGCCTCTGCGCTGCGGGGCCGGGCGCCACAGCCGGCTGCTCCAGGTCAGGGCCCCAGGGCCCCAGCTCCCGGTGCCAGACTGGGCTTCGGAGGCTGCATGCGGGCGGCTGCCAGCCCTTTGCTGGTGACAGGCAAGCAGAGGCAGGAAGCCAGCGCTCACTTTCCCTACAGCCTGGGAGCTTGAGGGGTGACCAAGGAAGGAGGAAGGGGCTGCGGGATGGGTGAGGGGGCGGGAGCCCTCCCCAAAGCTGCTGGAGTCCTCAGCAATGGTTCGCCACCGCTGGGTTCCAGAAGCCATGGGAGTCCCCCCAGTATTTAGGAAAAGGACTTCGTAAAGCTTATGCCACTCTTCCCTGGACATTCTAACACCAAAAAGTGGAAGAGGACCACTGCATGGAGAGAGGACAGTCCTTTCAGTTGAGCATAGGGAGTTTTACAGCAACTCTTTATAACTTTTCTGGTTTTGCCAAAGTGGGGTGAAAACGAACCCACGTGTGGGAGCCGCTGGCGGGGGCGACAGGCGCCCCGGTGACGCATGCGCCCCACAGAGCCAGGCCGGCCCTGGAGGAGAGGCCAGCACGGCACCGGCCAGGACCTGCTCTGCCCACCTGCCGGGATCCCATGCCAAGGTGCGGAGCTGGACCGGGAACTGCATCGTGCTAGGGAACCCCAGGAACCCCCAAGCCTGCACCCCCCAGTGCCAGTGGGGCCTGGGCTGCTCCAGCGGAGGGACACGGAGGCTCCTGGCCGCGCCAGTCTGTCCCCGGGGGAACCTCCGCTGCGGAGCCCCCCGCCTCCTCCCTCTCAGGGACAAACACAGCAGACAGTTTTGCAAAGAGCTTTTTAGTAGCTAAAGGCGGCACCATGTGCTCCAGGGCGACATGAATCACAGTATGCGGAACATACTGGCCGGCTGAGGTAAAACACGCGGTTCCTGCCCCACGCCACCGCCGTGAGGGGAAACACACACGTACTCTTAAAAACATCTCGCTTATAAAAACCGTCCCCTAGAAAGGCCTCCAGAGAAGGGGTGAGGCTCACCCTCTGCCGTGGGTGGGAGGACCGGCGGCCCGGCCACCGCGGCGGCGGGCGGCGCCCCCTACTGCTTGCCCAGCGCCCTGTCCAGGTTGCTCTTGATGGTGTCCAGGAAGTCGGTGGTGTTCAGGAAGTGCTCGTTCAGCTTCACGCTGCGGAGAGAGGACACGCTCGCCTCAGGGGCGGCCGGGGCCTGGACTTCGGAACGACCTCCCCACGCGGCCCAGGCCGCAGGCCAAAGGCTACCTGCGGCCCGGTGCCAAAGGGCCACGGCGAACTCGGCAGGAACCTGGCAGGCCTGTCCTTTCCAGGGGACGGGCACCTGGGAGCAAGCTCTCCCGGGAGCGCGTGGGAGGGACGAGAGCCGCTCTGAGCAGCGGCTTCAGGGACGGGACCGGCTGGGGAGCGCCTGAGCCCTCCCTCAGGGCTGTGGACCTGCCCTGCCCCCGGCCCCCGGCAAAGCTCAGCTGGCTCACGAGGGGGACTCTAACAGGGGTCCCCCGGCCTCTTCCCACCTGGCCCCGAGGTGCTGGAAGGCCACCCCGCCCTCCGCCCCAAGCCACGCACTTGCTGAGGCCGTGGATGCAGCCCGCCAGGTCCTTGGTCATGGCTCCACTCTCCACCGTCTGCACGCACACCTTCTCCAGGGTCTGGGCAAACCTGCAGGGCCAGGGCAGCGTGAGGCCCCGCTGTGCAGGGCCGGGACCCAGGGCCTGCCCGGGCCAGCTCAGGCTGTCCCTCAGTGCTCACCCGATGAGGTCCTGGCTCCCGTCCAGCTTGCCCCGGTGCTCCAGGCCACGCGTCCAGGCGAAGATGCTGGCGATGGGGTTGGTGCTGGTTGGCCGGCCCTGGGGACAGGGGTCGCAGGGGTGTCGAGAGCCGAGCCGCCCAGCAGGGAGGCTGCCCGGACACCAGTGCCCACCCAGGCTGGCCGGGCTGTCCCCCCAGCCCTCAGGCCGTGGGCTTTGGGCCCATTTGGGGCAGAGGGGCTTCCTGCAGCCACATGCCTCATACTCACCTTCTGGTGCTCCCGATAGTGGCGGGTGACCGTCCCGTGAGCCGCCTCGGCCTCAATGGTCTTCCCGTCCGGGCAGACCAGCACGGACGTCATCAGGCCCAGGGAGCCGAAGCCTGAGGGGCAGAAAGACTTCCTCTCAGTGCTGGTGCCTCTGCCCTTGTCACCCGCTGTGGCAGCCACTCAGCTCCTGGCTCCACGTGCCACCTGCCCACTGTAACTGGGAGGACGGCACCGTCTGGGGCTTCTTCGGCCCAGCGAGGGGCTCCAGGGCCCAGCACAGAGCTCGGGGCACTTGAGGGTGGCTATGGTCGGCACACTAACACACGTCTGTGTCCCACCTTCAGGCGCTCAGAGCCTGTGGCCTGTGGCCCGCAGGCCCCTGCAGCCTCCCGGCACCTGCCCACCTGCCCGCCAGCTGGGCTGGGGACCGGGGCTGGAGCAGGCAGAGGCACAAAGCCGCGGCCGGCCGGTTCCCAGCCATCACGTTTGCCACTGCTCTCTCAAACCAGGCTCTGGCCTTGTGCTTCATTTCCAAATTTTCCCCAATGCAGACGTCAACGCAAGTGACCCCTGCTGTTGTCACGGACTCTAGGGCTTCCAAAGTCGCCCCCCTCTGCCCTGTGGCCCCCAAACAAGGATGGTGGTGGCCAAGAAAGAAAAAGCAGACAGCTGCAACGTGAAAATGGCACGTCTGAGAGTTTCTGCCATTTTCACCTGGACCCGCCCGGTAGGTTGATTTTCACGCCTTTCTCGCTCCCATCCTAGGTGGGGAATGCTCTGGCAGGGGATCGCCACGGAAAAGCTGAAGGTAGGGAGACCCTCGGCCTTTCCACGGCCTGGGGACCTCCCCTTCCTCCTGCTCAGGAGCCGCCCGGTGCAGCTCTAGGTCTCGCCCTCCTCTTCACGCCTGCGCCCCTCCCGAGCCCTCCGCCTTTCCTGCTCTCGTTCCCAACACAAGCGGGCCATTTCTCCTGTTCTCTCTCTCTCTCTTTTTTTTATGACAGACTCTCACTCTATTGCCCAGGCTAGAGTAGCATGGCGTCAGCCCAGCTCACAGCAGCCTCAAACTCCTGGGCTCAAGCGATCCTCCTGCCTCAGCCTCCCGAGTAGCTGGGACTACAGGCATGCGCCACCATGCCCGGCTAATTTTTATATATATATTTTTTTTACTTGGCCGATTAATTTCTTTCTATTTATAGTAGAGACGGGGTCTCGCTCTTGCTCAGGCTGGTTTCCAACTCCTGACCTCAAGCAATCCTCCCGCTTTGGCCTCCCAGAGTGCTAGGATTGCAGGCATGGGCCATTGCACACAGCCTCTTGCTGTTCTCTAATGGCCTCACCCTCGCTTTCTCCTGCAATCCAGGTTTGTCTTCCTGGACACTCTAGGGCTTGGGGGTTTGCCATCTTCCCTGATAACAAGAGAAATTAGAAAATATTTTGAGCTGAATGGAAATAAAGACACACCAAAGAAAAACAGGACACAGCTAAAGTGGTATTTCGGGGGGAATTTATAGCTCCCTCAGGGCTGGCAATCTAGCCCTTTAGGACTTGGATTCCTGAGCCCTGCTTTCTCTCTAAGGGCAGCCTCAGTGATACACCAGTCCAAACCTAGTTTGTGACCCTCCTTCACTCAGAGGCCAGGGAGCTCCTGCCCCCTGCTGTCCGCAGGGGGCTGTGCAATGGGTCCTGCTGCTCCACGACAGGTTTCTACCAAAAGCGTCTGAAAATGCTCCCAGCCAGAGAAGACCAACGGTCCATCCCCCCCGGGGAGCAGGGTCCCCCCGTCGTACCCTGGGCCAGGATGTCTGACTGCACGTCTCCGTCGTAGTTCTTGCAAGCCCACACGAAGCCGCCCGAGGACTTGAGGACCTGAGCTACCATGTCGTCGATGAGCCGGTGCTCGTACCAGATCTTGTTCTTGTCGAAGTCCGTCTTATAGTGCCTGCGGGGCAGGGGCCGTCGTGGGGACAGAGCAGGAGGCCGAGGGGCTGGGGACTCCTCCCTGAGCCTCAGCACTTCGCCAAATGCACTGGGACCTCTCCCGGTTACGGGGGGTGGGGGAGGGTGGGGGGCAGCGTGGGGAAGGGTGCGGAGTCTGCGGGACGCAGCAAAGGAAGAGGCTGTTACTTGTCAAAGATCTCCTGGAAGATGTCCTTGAAGCGCCCGTCGTAGGCTTTCAGAATGGTGTTCTTGGTGCTCATGTACAGCGGCAACTTCTTCTGGATGGCGTACTGGAAGCAGCTGTGCGCGAAGCCCGAGATGGACTGCAGAGGGAGGGAGCGGGCCTGGCATGGTCCCCTGGCCTGGGGACTGCCGGTCTCCTCCCAGGCTCCCAGCGCCAGGCCCAGACCCCCAGGAATGGCACTGTGCCCCCCACACCGCGGCGGCTTGCACCAGCTCCGTGCAGAGAGCTCGCCGTTCCTGCCTGCCGGCCCAGCGCCGCTCCCAACTCCGAGGAGCAGGCGGCCCCCGGCACCCGCCCTTCCCCAGCGCGTAGACCACAAGGCTGGGGTAGGGCCAATTCCCCCACTCCACTCGCCTCCCGCTCAGAGCCCCCTGCCCAGGGCCTCGTGACTGGCTTGGAGACGGTCACGCGACCCGAGCCTGGCACTTTCGCCGGAACTCGGAGCAAAGAGGCGCTCTCTTCCGACAGAGAGGCCAAGCGGGCAGGGGATAAGCCTGGGGCTGCTGGTGGCCTCTTCACGGCCTGAGAGCGAGGCCAGCACAGCAGAAAGGAGGCCAAGAGACAGGCCGGGCCTCACCTCGTCCGTGTTGTACATGCCCATGCCCACGCCGCCCGAGGGGAAGTTGTACACCTCCCACTCCTTGGCGCCGCTGCCGTCCTTCGGCGTGAAGACCATCTTGAACGTGCCGGCGCGATCCGCCACGAAGTCTGTGGCCTTGTACTGCAGAGATGAGAGGGTGGCTCGGGCCAGCGGCTCTGGCTGGGGGGCACCCCAGGGCCACGGGCCCCGCCTGCCGAGCCAGACTACCTGGTCGCCGTGGGCGTGCCTGCCAATGGTGATGGGCTTGGTCCAGCCAGGCACGAGGCGCGGGATGTTTTTGCAGATGATGGGCTCCCGGAAGACGGTCCCCCCAAGGATGTTCCGGATGGTTCCATTGGGACTTTTCCACATCTTCTTCAGTTTGAACTCTGTGAGGACGGAGAGGAAATGGGCCCATTGCAGCCACCACCTTCCCACCAGAATTTGAACCCCAAGCAACACCACAGCCAGACAAGGGCCCTAAAAACCGTCCCAGAGGCGGCAGCAGAGTCTGCACTGTGAGTGCGTGCACTCTGGAACCCGGCAGTTTTGTGAGGTTTGCACAAGTGGCTTAGCCCAAGCTGTAAAACGAAGTTACGGATAGAATATATCCCAGCCGATGGGGTTACTGTGAGGGTTAAATGAGCTCACAGGCAAAGGGCCTGGAACCGGCCTGCCCGTGCTGGGGCCCTGACAGCCATTTTTATTCCGATATCAAAGGCAGAGACGGCGCAGTCCCAGGGAAAGGGCTTGTCCAAGACCCTGGCGGCACTCTGCCTCCCTCCCGACGCTCTGTCCTTCCCCCTAGTTCCTGAGACTGTGACCCTCGACTTCCCAATCCATAAATCCCAGGGTCCAGGTGAAACAAAACAGGTGAAAAGGACTCAGCACCAAAACGATTCCGGCACTTCGCGGCCAGGGATGAGCCGGCAGGGCAGTGGGGCAGGCCCAGCGTTCGCATGCCTCCCCCAGCTCCTCACACTGCGGGCGGGACAGAGAACTCAGAAAGCTCCTCTGCCATCCTTTCTAGAACCGGCCACACCCGGCCCCCTTATCCACACACTGGGGCCATCCATGGAGCCCTGGTCGAGGGGTCTTCGCAGGGAGGCCTGCACGGGCGCCGGGGTGGAGGCAGCGGGCACTAGCGCTGCTCCCCAGAGGTCTCTGAGGCTCTCACGCCCAGACCCCCCTGCACGGCTCTGCCAAGCCGCCCGCAAAGCAGTCCAGGGCCCAGAGGGACGGGCTGCCCCAAGAAGCCGCCATTACTGTGGCAGCATCGGCACTATCTTCCTCCTCCTCCTCTTCCTCCCTGTCACTGAGGACGCCCACCGCTGGTCAGAGCCACACAGCACGGCAGAAACACCCCTGGCTGGGGAGCTGGGAGACGTGGGTTCTGGCCTCAGCTCTGCCATGCCCTAGCCGTGGAACCTGAGGCCAGCCCCTTAACCCCACCTCCCCCGGCCTCGTCCGCAGTGACCTCTAGGGGCCCCGCCTACCAGGCACCCACAGGGAGACTGGGTCACCTCACGGCGCCCACCCCCAGCCCCCAGCGAAGTTGGCGCGGGAAAGCCCCCGTTCCAGAGGCTTCCAACCCCCCAGTCCCCAGGTGAGCGACGCGGCCAGCCTCCCCAACCCCCGTCTGGAGAGCAGGGGGGGGGTACCCCGTGACCCTCCCCCGCCGCCCACCTCCACACCCTCGCACCTTCCACGCGGGCCTCATCGGGGGTGATGGTGGCACACTTGACAGCCACGTGGTACTTCTGGGTAGCCAACGCAGAGTCGATGGTGACCTGGTCGTTGGTCTGGTCACGGTTTGGGAGCCCAAGGTCAAAATACTTGAGCTGGACGTCCACATGGGGTAGGATGAGCTGGGGACAGAGGACCAGAGCAAGGCATCAGGCCAGACGGCTGTGACCTGGGGCAGGACACCAAGGGGCAGGAGGAGAAGTGTGCAGGCCCTGGCAGGGGACACCCAGTCAGGGCAGAGGTGAGGGAGGACCAGGGGTGAGGAGGGGGCGCAGCAGAACACAGGGGTGCAGCCACTCCTCAGTGGGTTCTCACCAGACCTGGCAGGGGCTGGGGGCTGGAGAGGGGTCAGCAGACCAGGCCACAGCCCTTCAGACCGCTCTTCCCCTATGTGACCTTCTGCCCCCGCCGTGGCGCCCCAACTCACCCGAACCCCCACCCCAAGTTCATCTAGATTGTTCTATACAATGGGGTTCCCCCTTCTCCTCCAAGTGCTCTGAGCGCTTTGCAATCGGAGGTGGTGGCTCTCAACCTTCCTCCCGTGGCCGGACACGAGGCAGGGGCCTTTGCACAGACGATGCCCTCTCCCGGGCAGACCCAGACCAAGGCGGCTTTGGGGATCCAAGCGGCCACCTGGGACCCGTTTGCTGCGGTGGCCACAGCCGCAGGCCGGGCCACGCCCCGCATGCCAGCCCCTGCCACTTTCGATCCTCCCCAAGGAAGCGTGGCAGGAGGCTGGGGGCGACAGACACGTAACAGGGTCATCGGCCCTGTGGGACGCACAGACTTCGGCGCCAGCAGGAGACCCAGGCTGCTCACGACGGCCCCCGCCTGGCACCTATGAACCGCTAGTGGTCAAGATGTGGAGGCAGCGTGGACGGAAGGGCTGTGGCTGTCCACTGGGGGCGGAGGGGGCCCAGGAAGCCGAGGAGGGACCCAGAACCCCGTGTGCGGCTGAGCGCTGTGCCTGGCCAGCACACCTGCAGAGCCACCCGCTCCGGGAGGGGCCCACCTTCTCCTTGATGAACTGCCAGATGATCCGGGTCATCTCATCACCGTCCATCTCCACCACCGGCTTTGACACTTTGATCCTCCTGTCAGCATCTAGAACCGAGGACACACGATGCATCGCACCCCCGCGGCGGTGGTGGGGAGCCCCTCTCCCCCCGGCCAGACCTGCCCTCCAGCAAGGAGGGAACCGTGGACAGCCAGGGCCCCGGCTGCCCAGTGTCCCAGCGCCCCTCCCCCTTCATCGGAAGCAGCTCCCTGACTGCCTTGGGGACTGGACCCCCCACTGAGGACGGCTGGGGAGAACCAGCCAGAAAGACACCCAGCCCGCGCCTCACGGGCTCCGGTCTGGCCAGTCAGCGCCTCTCGCCCTGGCATCGGAGGGCCGAGCAGCCCGGCACGGGCGACGGCAGGCCACTGGGCTGCCCTGTCCCACATCAAATCAAATCGGGGAGGTTGTCCAGGGGCTCCCGCCACCTGTCCCTCAGGGTGGCCCAGGCTCCCCTTTTGTCCAAGACTCAGTTCTTTTTTTTTTTTTTTTTTTTTTTTTTTTTTTTTGAGAGGGAACCAGAGAATCACACAACACAGGAAGCTTTATTCACCCACTACTGCTCCGGACACCAGCAGGCTGGCACAGACTTCTCACTTAAATATGCTGTCCTCTTGGGCTTCTGCCAGTTCTCTGGCAATCCGATTCAGCTCATCCTGCTTCTTTTTCTCCTCTGCTGCTATCCTCCTCTCCTCTTCTGCCCGGGGTTTTAAGTAACGGTAGCGTGTGGCTCCATAGGCCACGCCGAGAAACAGGGCGGAGTAGCGGCCGAGCTTGATGAGCGGAGAGACCTGCACCGGCGGCACCATCTTGGCCCTGATCTTCGCACCGGAAGCACAACTCAAGGGTTGAAGAGGACGGCCCAAGGGCCCGGAAAGCCGGGAAGCAAATGTGCTCCGGAGGGGCGCACGCGCCGTGGCAGCCAAAGCCTCAGTTCTTTATATTAACAGCTTTCCTTGCAATTCTACCAGCTGCCCTGTGTCCTTCCAGGAAAATCCCCTCACGCTTAGCCAGTCGCTGACTCCGTGGCTTGCAGCCTGAGCGCCTCTGGCCGGCTGAGGTGGGGAGCGGGCGCAGACAGCCGGGACCGGGGCGCGTGCTCTGTGTCTGGCGGCGCACCGGCCTCCACACACGCGATCCTTGTAATCCCAAAAACAAGCCCGAGGGAGGTATTAGTCTCTCCGTTTTCAATGTGGGGAAACCGAGGCTCGGAGCGGTTACCGGCTCACCGCCCAAGGCTGCAGGGCTGGAAAGCAGCAGTGAGGAAGACCCTGACCCTATCCAGCGGCACGCGCAGGCTTACGGCACCCGAGACCTGGGATGCGACTGGGCATGCCGGACCCGTGCCCGCGTGGACGAGAATGCCAAGGAGCACTGGAGGAACCGGCCCAGGTGGGGAGCCGGCAGGGCTGCCTCGGCCGGGGCTTGTCGGCCTGTTGCACCTCTGCCTGCAGCAGCAGACAGAGGCACCGGGCCGGCTCCCCTGCCCAGGGCCCGCGGGGAGCGCAGCCAACGCACACAAACAGGAGCCTGCAGCCGCTGGGCGATGGCACTCACTGCCGAGAGCAGCGCGGAGCAGGATGCCAGGCGTTTCCCCAGAGCGGAACGGCACCTAGACTAGACATGCACTCGGACGAAGGGAAGGGGACGTCCTCTTGAAAACACTGGGTCGGGTGAAGTGACGGCTAGGTGACAGCAAGGGACGGAAGCCTGTGCAAAGCAGGCCTAGAAACTAAAAAGGCCTGGCCACCCAGGCTCAGTCCAAACCAAGTGCCCAAACCTCAAACAAGGCCCCTTCCCAAGACATGCAAACAGATGTGTTTTTAATCAAAAAGAATCTCAGAGATCACTTCGGGAGACAAATGGGGCTCGGGGAGGGTGGTTCGTGTCAGAGGCGAGACGGAACCCAGGTCCCTGGCTCACGTGCAGCCCCGCCCTCCGGCTCACATGCGGAGACACGGCTAGCAGACCCAGACTGGAAGCCTGTCATTCCCCAGAGAACAGAAGGCGGACACCGCCGGCTCTGCCGCCCTTCCCTAGACACTGCAAGGATTTTCAACCCGAGACACAACATCCCTCCCCTTTCCTGGCCTGAAGCTTGAGTGGGAAGGGCCCCCGGGCGGAGGGAAGTTGCTCAGCTGCCGACAGGGCCAGTTCACCATAGTTTGGGGGAGCGCCTCCTCCGGGGTCATCTGAGGGCAGCTGATCAGATTCGTGAAAAATGGAACCCAGCTTCATGAGGAGGGCTCAGGACAGACGCGTCCGGGACCAGCTCACAAGTTTTGGCCTCAGCCTGGGCTCCGCTGTTCCCGGCTCCAGGCAGGCACAGCAGTCCGTAAGATGTGGGTGCCGCCCCTCCTCTGCAGGGAGTTCAAGGTCAGGAACCCAGCCCTGGTGTGCATGCAGGGGGCAAACTCTCAGAGACCACAAGGCCTACGTATTCACTCGCCAACTGGGTGCTAAGCACCTCTTCCCACTGGGACGCACAAGTGCCTAAACACGACCGTGCCCGAGCAAGCCTGCTGTCGCTACTAGCGTCAGGACTGCTAGGACCTCCCTGCAGCAAACCTCCTGGAGGGGCTGAGGACAGCCATGGGGCCAAGGCCAGCAGCCTTGTTTGATCTGGACCAGGTAGGTAATGGCTTTTAAAAAATACTGGCCAGGCGCGGTGGCTCACGCCTGTAATCCTAGCACTCTGGGAGGCCGAGGCAGTTGGATTGCTCAAGGCCAGGAGTTCAAAACCAGCCTGAGCAAGAGCAAGACCCTCGTCTTACTATAAATAGAAGAATTAATTGGCCAACTAATATATAGGAAAATTAGCCGGGCATGGGGCCATGCTGTAGTCCCAGCTACTCGGGAGGCTGAGGCAGCAGGATCCCTTGAGCCCAGGAGTTTGAGGTTGCTGTGAGTTAGGCTGACACCAGGGCACTCACTCTAGCCTTGGCAACAAAGCAAGACTGTCTCAAAAAAAATATATATATATATATATATTAATTGGTGGCCAACCTTTAAATATCAAGAAATCTCAACAATAAATTAATAAATGGACAAAAGCCTTGAAGAGACCTTTCTGCAAAGATGTCGTGCAACAAGCACATGAAAACATGCTCAGCATCACGAATCATTAGGGAAATGCGGATCAAAGCCACAGTGGGCTGTCACCTCACAGTCCTTAGGGTACCTACCACCAAAAACCCAGAAAATAACAAGTGTTGGTGAGAGTGGGGAGAAATCGGAACTGTTGCAGGGAAGGTAAAACGGTGCCGCTGCTATGGGAGACAGCGTGGAAAAACAAAACAGAATCTCCATAGGATCCGGCAATTCCACTTCTGGACATAAACCCAAAACAACAGAAAGCAGCGTCTCGAAGAGATACACGTGCACCCATGTTCATGGCTGCACTGCTCAGAGTGGTCAAAAGGCGGAAGCACCCAAGCGTCCCTCCACGGGTGAATGGATAAACAGAATATGGTACAGTCCCCCCATCCACGGTTTCCCTTTCCACGATTCAGTTACCTGCCAGTCAGTCGCCCACGGTTAACCGCAGTCCCAACTGAGGTGAGCACGGTACAACGAGATATTTTGAGAGAGAGAGACCACATTCACGTGACTTTTATTAGGGTATATCCTTATAATTGCTCTATTTTATTATTAGTTACTATTGTTAATCTCTTACTGTTGCTAATTTATAAATTAAACTTTATCACAGGTATGCGTATACAGAAAAAAACGTAGCATATATCGGGTTTAGTACAAGTCACAGTTTCAGGTGTCCACTGAGGATGATCTCAGAATGTGCCCCCCGCCAAGGATAAGGGGGACTACTGCATACACACACAATGCAACAGTGTTCAGTCTTAAAAAGGAAGGAAATTCTGACATATGCTATCATATGGATGAACCTTGGGGACATCGTATCAAATGAAATAAGCCAGTCACAAAAGAAAAATACCATGTGACCCTACTTACATGAGGTGCCTAAAATAGTCAAATTCATAGAAACTGAAACTAGAACTGAGGTTGCAGAAGCTGTGGGGAGGGGGCAGTGGGGAGTGGTTTAACGAAGACAGAGTTTCAGTTTTGCAAGATGAAAAGCTGGATGGTGGATGGTGGTGATGGTTACACAACAATGTGAATATACTTAACACCTCTGAACTGGGCACCTAAAAATGGTTAAGATGATAAATTCTGTTACATTGTTTTTTTACCAACATGAAGAATAAATACATATAATAAACACTTAAACCAGTCCAAAAAGAGCAGATTTTTACATAAAAATCAAGATATGCAGCAGACACTCACTCGTATGGAGGACAGGCTGGGCTGATGGTGGCTCAGGGTGGTGTCTACCATGTCTCCCTACATTCCAGGCCTGCCATGTGCCCTCCAGAGTGCCCCGGGGCACTGGAGTTCGAGACCCCTGTCTGCTGTTCTGCCTGTATGGTGGAGACACCACCATGGTCTGCCCTGGTCTGGGAGACAAGTGGTGACAGAGACCTGAAATACAAGCAGCAGCGAGGCCTCCCTGAAAACCTCAGAGTGACAGCCCCCGCGACCATGCACTACACAAACACTGTGCTGGCAAGAGTGCAGGGTGGAATTACGCCACTCACAAGATGCCCATTAGGCCAACTCTATTCCCCATTTGGGGCTCCTAGCGCCCAACACTGAATAAGGATCTCAAAACCCATCCCTGGCTTGGGGATCTGCTCACTACTCCCAGCTCAAGGCCAGAGGTCCCTCCGCGGGTGGCCGGCCCAGAGCATAACTGCCTTCTCCACATTCCTGCCCATGCTGCTCACAGCGAGAGGCTGCTCTGTCAGCAAGTCCCAGAGAAGGATCAGAAAGTCGGAAAGGCCCCAATTCCTAGGGGCTCAAGAAGGCAGGACAGCAATTCTGGAAAAGATTCCAGTATTTTCCATGGTGTCATCCTTCCCTTTCTCTCACACCCACATCCAAACCAACAAGATACACCCAGACCTTTGAAATACACCCAGCATCCAACCACCGGTCATCACCCCCAGTGCCACCATCTGGGTCCAAGCCATCACTTTTTATTGCCAGCTTATGTCCATAGCCTCCCACCAGGTCCCTGAAGCCAGATAAAATGTAAATCAGATCGTGACAATCCTCTTAACACCGTACAAAGCCTCCCCTTTCACTCAGAGTAAAAGCCAAAGTCCTTACAAACTACATGCCCTGCACAGCCCCCTGCCAGCCCCGACTCCCGTAACTCTCCACGGCGCACGCTTCCTCTCTGCTCCTCCATCATGGCTTGGGCACCTGCGGGTCCCTGTCCCCTGTACCTAAATGGCCCGCTTCCTCCCTCCTCTGCGCTTCATTCACTGAGGTCTCTTCCGCTGCCCTGTCCGAACTTCCACGTTCACAGCTTCCTCGCTGATGTCTTGTCCCGAGGTCTCGTGACCACGAATCACACGAGTCCACATCTGCCTTATTTACTGCCTGTCCCCTCCATAAGGCAGGAACCTTTGCTGGTCCTGTTCCCAGCTCTATCCTCAGCACCTTGCGTGGTGTCTGGCATTAGAGTAGGAGCTCAAAACATTTGTTAAAGGCATAATGAAGGTCAAGTTAAGGGCAACTTGGTCTGTGGTCAGGGCTGCCCTGCCCTCACCTCCGGTTTCTGTGAATGTGCTCCCTCCCCTGCCCCCTGGAAGCAGGGCCCCACAGGGGCTGGTGGGTTCTTACCAGCAGACGGCACCAGATGTACTGGGTACAGGGCCAAGGCACCAACACTGTCCCCTGCCTTTTGTAGCTGGCTTGGAGAGCCAGTGTGAGGGACAGGCCAGTGCCCACACGCCCGGCAGGACAGCTCGCCTTGGCAACGGAGGCTCAGGCCAAGTCCTGTCCTAACTACTGTCTTCTCTCTCCTAAGTAGGGAGCTAAGGGTCCCCCAGAAGCTGTGGGGACGATTCTGGAAATGGGCTCCGTGCCCTGGAGACACTTATAACTCTTAATATTACAATCTGCTGGTATTCCTAACGTGGGCGTACAGAGCACAAACCCCAGGGAAGGCCACAGACCCTGGCTTCCAGGAAGCAGAGAGTAGTTTCCAGAACCTCATAGCTGGAATGGGAATCAACCCAAGAGGCCTCCACCGCATGGAAGATTTGGGGGCAGGCCTCAATCCCTAAACACAGCCACTCAGAACAGCTCTGGTGGGGCAGCTGGGGTCATATCTCATGAGGCTGAAAGACTTGAAAAGTTAAGGGGCAAGAATTAGGTTTCTGGGCTAGGCCTGGAGTAAAGAAAGGCTGGGTAAGTGATTCTCCCATGGTGCGGTTCGAAGAGCCTGCCTCTACTTCCCCAAGCTGCAGGAGGCCTGTGGAGTTGCAAGGTGAGAAAGAGAAGCGTGTGGGAATTACCGGGCAGCAAACACACAGGACTGTTTCAGCCCAAAAATATTCTCTCCTTGTCATCAAGGGGAATGCCAAGTATTCTTTCTCCAGCTGCGTTGCCAGGTAACAAGCTGGCAGAGTCACAACTGTATAGTCTAATACCCAACTCAAACTCCAAGCATTTTTCCCATTAATAACCAAACCACACAGGGACTTCTGGAAGGACCTGCAACTGACTGCTTTTTTTGTGTTTATCCAAATTCAGGCCCCAAAAGGGGCTTTGTTTTCCTGTTTGTGTGTGCTTTTTGTTGGTTTTGGTTTTCTTTTGTTGCTCTCTTTTTTTACCAGTAATGTAGGGAAAAAGAGAGAACTGGGGAATGTATCTAACTTCCACCATATTTTGCTGAAGGTGGTGCCCTATGGGAATCTTTGGGGTCTGGGGCACTTGGAATCTTGGAGTTGCAGGGCTGCCTGGCTTAGAAGTAGATCCCAGAACTATAAAAGCAGACATGCCCCTTTCTCCTTGGTGGGGGGAGGGGGGGTGGGGCCGGGACCCAAGCCCTTTCTCTCCTCCCCGCCCCCTCTGGTCAGCTGCTCGCACACTCTGTTAAGGATTACAGCCTCTGCCTCTGGCCAGGCCAAGCAGGGTGGGCCCCATCCCCTCTTCCTCACTCCCCTGGCTCTCCCCAGGGGCTTCTGGCCAGGTCGGGATACGGGTTTCCACGGCAACAGGCATCAGACAGGGCCAAGGGCCCGACACTGTCCCCTGCCTTTTGTAGCTGGCGTGGGGAGCCAGTGCGAGGGGCAGGCCAGCGCCCACATGCCCGGCAGGGCAGCTCGCATGGGTCATGGAGGCTCGGGCCAAGTGCTGACTCCACTGCTGTCTTCTCTCCTAAGCTGGGGGCTGAGGGTCGCCCTGAAGCTGTGGGGACGGTTCTGGAGAGGGACATTGTGCGCGGGCTGCCAGGTCTCCCCGGCGGGGGAGCCAGGTAGCAGGTAGCGGGGGCACGGGCCGGCCAGCAAGAGAAGGCCGGTGGAGCCGGGGACGGGCCGGGATGGAGAATCGAGCGCAGCACGAAGGCGAAGGGAGGGGGCGGCCAAACAAAAGGGGGGAATTAAGAAGGACTCTCCTTCAGCCGCCGCGTAAAAGGCTCCCGAAATAGCTGACGTGGGCCTGGTGCGAGGAGTGATTAAAGCGCGCCCGGCTGAAGAGGAAGGGGAAGCGGCCGCCTTTGTCTGCGCGGGCCGCGCCGCGACCCTCCCTCTCGCCCGCGGGGCGGGCCGCCGCTCCCGCCCACCTCCGTCGCCGGAGTCCCTCCCGGGGCGCGGGACGGGGGCGCCCTCCAGGTGCGGACGCCCGGGACCCCTCCCGGAATAGCCGGGGGCGCAGGGCCGGCAGCTGCCCCGGCCACCAGTTGTCACTGTCCTTCAAGTCCCTGCCCCTGCGCGGGAGCGGCCCGAAACGCCGGGCGGGGAGCGCGCGACTGGCCACCCCGCCGCGGGCGTCGCGGGCCGCGCTCCCGGACCCCCCGGGAAGCCGCCACGTCGCGCCCGGTTCCGGCGCGGCACTCACAGTGGCGCCGCGGCTGCTCTTGCGCGGCGGGGGCCGTCGGGCCGCGGGCGCCCAGGCCGGGCCGGGGCTCTGCAGAGCGCGCGCGCGGCCCGCAGGTAGCCGCCATCGCGAGCGGGGGCGGGCGGCGAGGTCCGAGCGCGGCCGCTCCCTTGGCGCCTGGCCGCGGGCTGCCGCTGGGCCGGGCCCGCGCCGGCCGCCGGGACCCCGCCGGGCGGGGCCGCCAGCGCCGCCGCCCATTGGCCTGGCGGGAGGGGCGGGCCCAGCCGCCCGCCCCGCCGCGGCCGGCCCGGAGCCCGCGCTCCCGAGGGCGCCGCGCCGCGGGAGGAGGCGAGGCCGGGCGCGCCGCGGCGGGGGCGTCAGGAGGGCCGCGTGCGACACTAGCCCTCTCCGGGGCGGCGCGTTGGATCGCTTGTTTTAACAGAGACAGGGGCCAGCCACGGTGCCCAGGCTGGTCTCGAACTCCCGGCCTCAGGCGATCCTCCCGCCTCGGCCTCCCAGTAGCTGGGACTACAGGCGCGCGCCACGGCGCGGGAGGATGCTCCCTTTCAGCCAGGGTGTGGGGCGCTGACACTGTAGCTCGAACCCAAACGCAAGTCTGAGCAAACCTTCCACCCTTCGCGCCTTCCGGCCCGAGCCCCCAGGTGCATCGACCCAGGTGGGTTCTGCACTCTTGGACTAAGACCACGGGCGGCCCCGGGGCAGCTACTCAAGCCACGGGCAGCTACTCAAGTGCACCCTCAGATCCACCGGTTGTGTAGACTGACCCGAGTTGAGAGTTGAAATCCCTCTTTCGCTTCTCACTAGGTCAAGCTGCTAGTCGGCGAAGGCCCGTGGCATGGCCGGAGTCGGCTTTCTCCTGTGCCGAGTGGGAACCACAGCGATGACAGGGCTCTGGAGACGAGGCCGAAGTTACCTACGTGAAGGTTGGGGCACGCCCTGGGCTCAGCAGTCACGACCCAGGACCCACGTGTGTCACATTCCAGCTGGGTGGCACGGAGGGGCAAAGGGAAAACTCCATCGCCCTCCCCGGGTTCGCTGACATTACTGACAAAAGGCAGATTAATGGGAGAAAAATCGTACAAATGTGTTTGAGCATAGTTTTGGTGACATGGGAGCCTTCAGAATGAAGACCCAAAAACACGGGAAACTGCCCATTTTTATGCGTAGGTTTAACAAAGTAGGGACAGCTTTGTAGAAGTATGATTGGGCTAAAAGGGTATGGTCTAATAATTTTAAATTTTTTTTTTAATTTAAAACCTTCCTTTTTAATGGGGTGGGAGGCTGTGAGGAGGGGTGTTCAGCCGCCCCGTTTGTTTCGTTGAGACAGAGTCTCACTCTGTCACCCTGGGTAGATGCAGTGGCTCTGTAGCTCACTGCAGCCTCCCTGGTAGCTGGGACTACAGGCGCGTGCCCACACCTGGCTGGCTTTTTCTTTCTTCCTTTCTTTTTGGTAGAGACAGGGTCTCACTCCTGCTCAGGCTGGTCTCCAACTCCTGAGCTCAAGTGATCCTCCCGCCTCGCCTCCCAGAGTGCTGGATTGTACAGGTGTGAGCCACCGCGCCCGGCCAGGTCTAGTGCTAACAGACTGGGGAAACCCAGCATGGCCTATGTGTCTAGATTCTTCTTGGTGTCTCTAGCAGTGTTCCTTCCTCCTGGGTATGAGGGAGGACTTCTTGGAATGGGGTCTTAGGACCTGCAGACAAGGTAGGTCAGATAATTTCTTTTACATTTACACAGGAGGCAGGGTAAAAGTTAGCATAATATTTTTAGGCCGGGCTCGGTGGCTCACGCCTGTAACTCTAGCACTCTGGGAGGCCGAGGTGGGAGAATCGCTTAAGGTCAGGAGTTCGAGACCAGCCTGAGCAAAAGCGAGACCCTGTCACTACTAAAAATACAAAGAAATTGATTGGCCAACTCATATATATAGAAAAAATTAGCCGGGCATGGTGGCCATGCCTGTAGTCCAGCTACCCGGGAGGCTGAGGCAGAGATCGCTTGAGCCCAGGAGTTTGAGGTGCTGTGAGCTAGGCTGACGCCACGGCACTCACCATCTAGCCTGGGCAACAGAGAGACTCTGTCTCAAAAATAAAAATAAAAAAATATTTTTAGGCACTATGGCTGGCTTTGGGGAGGAGGGATTCTAGCTTCTGCGGCTGGCCTGGGGGAGAATGAGGGGCCAGAGACACAGGGCAGGAGGTCAGGCTGCTTCTGAGGCCTTCATTTTGGGGTACTGTTTTTCTGAGCCCCCACAGTACTCACGCAGCCGAAGCAGACACACTTGCATTCTGTCTGTCTGCATACGAAACACCATCCTGACGGCTCTGCCACAAACACCCAAAGTCTCTCTCTTCACCTGTTTTCCAGAAGGGAGATGCCAGTGCTGGCTGGGTTTTATTTCTAAAAATCCGTCCTCCTCCCCTTCCCTACTTTCCCAGCCCCACAGACTCACTCCACGTAGCAGCGACCTTCCTGCCCCGTGTTCCTCGCTCTCCCTCCAGGGCCCACAGCACTGCCAGGTGGAGCTGGGCCAGGAGGGCGACCTTGAATTACCAACTTCAAAGAGCTTCCGCCACCCGGTCCCAGCCTGGCAGAGCCCCTGCGTAGGCCCTGGGAGCCTGTGGCCTGGGCCCAAGGGGAAGCTGCTTTTGTGCCCCCAAAGTCCGAGGCCTCCATCAAAGGCCTGGTCTCGGGCCAGCGTGTTCCAGAGTGACCCCATAGCCCTTTCGCTCTGTTCCCAGCTCTCTTGCTCAAAACACAAACAGAGACCGTAGAAATGAGACTTTCATGCCGACCTCCATTGCCAGGCACCTGGGCCTCAGTGTCCACACCTGAAAATTGGGAGACTGGGGCGTGCAAGTCCTCGTGGTCCAGTCAGACTCAGTTACATATTTCAATTACCCACGCTGCTACTTCTGAAATGGGGGTAACAAAATTGCTGCCCACCTCCGGGGGCTGCCCTGTTCCTCCGAGTAGTGGGTGGGGGTCCCGAAGGCCCAGCAGGAGGCAGCTCTGCGGCCTCCGTGTGTTCCAGAGTCTGTCCTTTGCCTGCTGAGGGGTCCCGGGGGAGCACTTGTGTCCTTTGCCAGCACAGCAGCGCCCGGGGCAGTTGAGGCAAACAAAGTCTTTCCAAACTGCCCCTCACTGCCTGCCTCCCAGGCCTCCAGCTCCATGCCAGCCTTCCCCATACAGTGCCTGTGTGGTGAGGCAGCTGGTCTTGGCTCCACTGGCTCAGAGAGGTTAGGACACTTGTTCAAAGTCACACAGCTGGGAAGTAGCAGAACTCCAGTTCAAATCCACGTACCTGGCTCAAAGGCCATTACTCTTTCAAGGAGAAAGAAGAAGAAACAAGAGCCCCTCTTTAATAATATTTTGCTGGTTTGGAATTCCTGGTGGTAGTAACTATTGGCCCTGAAAGCTGCTGCAGAGAAAGGCTGTTTAAAGGAAAGAGGTTTAGATCCTCCAATTTTCGGTCAACATAATTGCAAACTCCCATGTTATAAATCAAACCCCAATCCATCATTGAGTCTAGGTCACATGCAAGTTCCCTGTGGAGACACAAAAATTGTCCCTACCCCCCAGGAGTCAGTGACATGTATATGCAATCAACACAAACCCTAGCACAAGAGGAAAGTGTCCCAAAAGGAATTTATTTATTTAGAGCCAAAGTCTCACTCTGTTGCCCGGGCTAGAGTGCCATGGTGTCAGCCTAGCTCACAGCAACCTCAAACTCCTGGGCTCAAGTGATCCTTCTGCCTCAGCCTCCCTAGTAGCTGGAACTACAGGCATTCGCCACCATGCCCGGCTAATTATTTCTATATATATTAGTTGGCCAATTAATTTCTTTCTATTTATAGTAGAGACAGGATCTCGATCTTGCTCAGGCTGGTTTCGAACTCCTGACCTTGAGCGATCCTCCCACCTTGGCCTCCCAGAGTGCTAGGATTACAGGTGCGAGCCACCACCCCGGCCCCAAAAGGAATTTAGGTGACACCCAAGGCATCTGGCAAAGAGAAAATCACCCTGATGCGGGAGACCCTGCAGAACTTGGGGGCAGCATCCATCAAGCTGATCTTGAAGGAGATCTGAGATCTGGGAGGCCAGCCCGGGAGGCTGGGAGAGGGGAGGGACTGGCCCTCCACCCAGCCAGCCCTGCAGGGCATTAGTTTTGTGGTGTGCCTAGGCTAGAGTAGCATCTGGTAACAGTGGTGAGGGAATGTTGCAAGGTGGGGGATCAGGCCTGGGGAAGGGAGACCGTAGTCTCTGAGCCAGGGCCAGGTCCGACATGGGGTCCTGGCAGGACCCCGGATGACGCGGAGGAGCTGGAATCGGCAGGAGTTGCAGCTGGCTGGACACCGGACGGCAAGGGGAGGAGTCGGAGTGACTCAGGCTTCCATCCCTGGGGCTGGGAGAACTGCAATGCCATTATTAGAAATCGAAAAAGAGGAGGAGGAGGAGGGTGTGGGGGAGGTGTTGACAGCAGAACTATTTCTGGCCGTCCAGGACTGATTTCCCTGCCAGCCGTCTGCGCCCCTCCCCCGCCCAATCTGCCCTACCTGCGGCTTCCAGCGCTGGCCTCCCCTCCCGGGCCAGCCCTGAGCAGCTAGCTGCTCCTGCTCCCGTACCTGCCCTCGCTTCCCACTGCCCGTTCAGCTCTGAATCGCTTATCACGATTCATGGCCCTCAGCTCCCTCACCACCCTTGTCTTCTACTATCTACCGGAACCCCAAACCCGGCCACTCCCTGAACGGTCCCAGTGTCTGTGCCTGTGCATTGCCCCGGTGCCCCCAGATCGGCTTCCCACTCCCCACAGCCACTCCCCACTCACGCTTGCTGGCTGCCGTGCACTGAATGTGTCCCCCCAAAATTCCTCTGTTGAAGCCCCGGTTCACAGTGTGATGGTGTTTGGAGGTGGGGGCTTGGGGAGGTAATTAGGTCATGAGGTAGAGCCCTCATGAAAGGGATTAGTGCCCTTGTAAGAAGAGATGAGCAAGAAACTCTCTCTCTCTCTCTCTCTCTGCCATGTGAGGTCATTGCTGGGAAGAGGGCCTTCACCAGGAACTGAGCCGACCAGCACCTTGATCCTGGACTTCCCATGCTCCAGAACAGTAAGAAACAGACTTCTGTTATCTAAAGCATGCCGTCTATGGTGTGTCTGTGATAGCATCCCGAGGTAAGACAGCGGCCAAGTCCGGGCCTACCTTCGCAAGCCCGCACTGGGGCGGGGGTGGGCAGAATGTGGCATC